GTACAACTGTATTTTATAGTCTATCAACTAAAAGGAATATGCTACATTGCTAAGGAAATCTTTCCCTATTCCTGTGGCAACCATTGCCCTAGCTACTAGCTACAGAGCAGTGTGTTATCATTTTTCTATAAATAAATTTTTAGTTCACATTTGTATATAAATGAGCTTTTATTTAGAACTTCCAAGCCTTCTTTTCACTCATTTAGCAAAGCTTCCTTATGTTTATATTCACAGGTTGACAAAGCCATTGTCTTTGTTTTATTTTTATTTTTTTCTCAATGTACTATTATTAAAAGGCTCACTCAACTTGGATCTATCTAAATGTCCAAAATGGAACATGACATTAACATTGTATAGTCAGATAGTTAAAGGAACTATAATACTTTGTTCAAGAACATACTCATTGACAGTCTTACTTTTCCAAATTAAATTCATATTTGATATTTGAAAGTTATTTTAATCTGTATTAGCATAACTGGTAGAAGTCTCTGTATTTCTTATTTGTTTTATACTGCTAAATTCCAATTAATGTCACCCTGTAATTTTAGAGCTACGTGATCTGCAAGAAAAGCAGAGATTGAAAACACCCCCTCATGCACACACACAGAAAATCAAAATGAATTGAGAGAGCAGGCAGGGATCAGTAGATCTGGTTTCTCACTGTGGCTCTGGCTTGGAAAATTATCTTGGGCAAATCACGAAACCTCTTTAGACCGAACATCTTCATCTGATAATAGGGAGCTGGACTTTGTTTGGAAGCGTCATACTCCAAATCCATTCACTTTGATGCTGCTGCACCTTTAAACCACTGAGTTTTGATCCATGAGCTTTTGATTCTTTAGCATCTCTAGATCACTGATAGAAACTAAATTTGCTATTGTTGCTGTGTCTTAGTTAGTTACTTTTCCTGTTGCTGAGACGAAGTACCTGACACCCACAAGTTAAAATAGGACAGGTTTATTTCAGCTCACAGTTTGTAGAGGTTTCAGTTCATAGTCGGCTGACTCCAAGGCAAGGCAGCAGGCAGAGGAGCATCACAGAGGAGAAACAGTCCATGGCAGGGTAGGGCAGGCAGAAGGCAGGAAGCAGCCAGCCTGCCTTCTTTCTGTCCCTTTATATTCCATCCAGCCTGTAAGCCTATTGATTGGTGCCACCTATTGATTGGAAGCCACCGGTGGCTTCCATCACCTATACCCTTAATCCCACTATCACATCCTTAATCCACATTCACACAACCTAATTCAGCCACCTTTGAAAGTCCCCACCTTTGACCTCTTGAGGCTTTAGGGGGACATCTAGCTACAAGCTGTAACATTCTGTTATTGTTTTAAAATAACTCTAATCTGTTATCACTAAAACCATGATAACAGAAGTAAACAAAGCAAGAAAAATTAGCAAGAGTCATCTATTCTCCTATCTGCCTATTCCTATTGTCAGGAATAATATTAAATATTATAAATACTAGAGCCAGAAGATCAAGAACACAAACAAACCAGAGCTGACAACATTGCTGAATCCCCAGCCCAGCCTCCTCCTTCTCTGGGTGAGATATTAAGTCTTTAGACTTTAAGTGCAAAAAAATATATATATATATATACATATATATATATACACACATATATATATACATACATACACATGTATATATACATATATATACATATATGTATATATATACACACATATATATATATGCCCACATAAATGTAGAGACATACAAATATTTTTTTTCCTTTTTTTAAGAGCAAAACATAAAGACGTAATAATTATACTTCTCTGCAACCCTAACATTATGGTGGACATATTTCATATCAGCCTTCATAGCTCATGAATCCATAGAATCACTTTTAGTGGTTGAAGCATGTTACACAGTTTATCTAATTATCTCCTTTAGGTTATCTTCAATTAATTTTTTTTTTTTTGGTACCGGGGATCGAACTTGGGTCCTTGCGCTTGCGAGGCAGGCGCCGGAACCACTGAGCTAAATCCCCAGCCCTCAATTAATATTTTTATAATTGTGGAAAATAAGAGCACATATCAAGTACTTACACGTTATGAATTGTTGATTATAAGAACTGTACAGCAGAAAGGAGGACATCTGCCCAAATGCCACAACAACAAAACTAGAAACTTACTTTTATGCATAAGAGCAATATAAAACTCCCCCAGGATATGCTTTGTGATTACCAGGACAGACAGGACCGACCACATTATCCACAGGAAGAGACCAGGGTATTCAGAGAAAAGGAGAGGCAACACTTGGTGGTTATAAACCAGCTAACTTTAAAAGGCTCATTGAAAAAGGGCATGGAAAACATGCATTTGAAAGAGATTCTGCTGCTTTTTTAGTGAAATGTTAAGAATCTATCAATTTTAGAGACTTTGGGTTTTTTTCTACCTACTGATAAGAAGACACCATCTTATTATGGAACAGCCACTTCTACTTCATTTTCAAAGCTGGCTGCACTGAACATATTTGCATTCCCAGGCATGGATGAAGGCTTTTTCTAGAGTAGAATCCTAGAAACTGAGTCCTATTTGCCCAGGGCCAGTTGGTGGCTGTTCCAGGCACACACCCGCAGAGGTCGGGAGTAGCAGATGAAGTTGGTCTCCGGTTGCACTGACACTCCCACCAGTCCTGAGGTCTCTCCCGCACCCTGTGCTGCCCCTCAGCCCCCAGCAGCTCCCAAAGTGGGGATCTGATCAAAGCTGGCCTTCCCAAGGCAGAAACACCTGTCTCAACAAACAAACAACCCCCCCACAAAATTTCTTTCCTTTTTTTGGTTTTTGTTTCAGAGTAGAAGCATGATAACAACAGTTCCTCTTTCAAAGCATGGTTTTCCAAAAAGTTTTCCACACATGTAAAGGTGGTTAAGACTGACAGGTTTTGCTATGTAGTACAGGCTGGTCTCGAACTTGCAGTGATCCTCCTGCCTCTGCCTCCCGAGTGCTGGGATTAGAGACATGCACCACCACTCCTGGCTTGAAACAAAATCTTTTCACCATCTTGACTCCACCTAAACCTGGTTATTTGTAATTTGCTTCCTCTCCCCAATTCCACTGGGACAGAATCTAATCAATTCACTCCCATAAGGAAGTTGACCACTGACAACCACTCATACCCTTGTCTACCTCCCTCCAGGTATTTTCCAGATTTTTCTGATTATTAGAATCACCTGTGCTGCTTGTTAAGCCTATAGTCCCAGGTCTATCCCCAGGAGAGTCTAATTTGGCAGCTTTCGGGTGGGACCCAGGAATCTGTGACATTAAGAAAAGCCCCATGTGATTCTTTTGATCAGGAAGCTGAGGAAACACTATTCTGACCGACAATAGTATTTCTGATGGCTGTAACAGAATAGAGATTATTCCTCAAGTTACACCATGAAGGTGAATCATAAATCAAGAACTGCAAATACTACACTGCTATCTGCATAGAGTGTGGGCATATAATTTACGTGTTATAGAATATAGACTGCAGACATCTACATATCTCAAAGAGCATGTGGATCAGGTTCCAGAAAATCCCGAGTTCTCAACTTGGCTCTGATACTCAATTATCAGAGCTTGGGCATGTTGTTTTCATGTTTCGCCATCTATAAACTGCTAAGTGCTACACAATATGGCATTCTTATCTACTCTCTTTAACACAGGAATTACGCTTCTAGAACTTTATGCTGAGGGTTACCCAGGAAAATGTTTAAAAATGTTCATCATATTGTTATAATGATGAAAAATTGGAAACCATATTAAGCCCATTGATAAGGAACAGTGAAGTAAGCACTGATTGAGCTAAACATTGAAAACTATGCAACCTTAAAAAATCACGGAGGGCCAGGGATTTAGCTCAGTGGTTCTGTCACCTGCCTCACAAGTACAAGGTCCTGAGTTCAATCCCTGGTACCAAAAGGAAAAAAAAAAATCATGGAGATCTTTACATGTGATATGGAAATGTCCTAAAATGTTGGAAGTGATAATGGCAGGTTTCAAAACAGTATTTAGGCTTCACTCTCAGATTTTTAAATTGAATGTGATATTGATATTGAGCAAGGTCTTTTAACTGAAGAGATTGTAAAAATGAGACTGGGTCAAATACTGTAAGCACACGCACTCCTGCCCAAGCCGAGCTTTGAGAGGTAGGGGAAGAAGGACTTCGACTGAACTGGGGTTTTGCTGAAGGAAGCCAGCACTGGTCAGGAGAGAGTGATCAGAACAAGGAAATTAGTGATTTTTAAGTTAACCAAGAGAAGGCGAGGCTAGTGGGCTTATTTAGGTTTCTTTCCCCCTTGGTAACAACTTCTCATCTCACACAACATTTCGCTTCTACAATTTTATGAGGATCTCATAACACATCCTTTAAAACATGCCATGCTACCAAGGGTAATAGTTTACAGCATCCAGTCAGGCATGGTGGCGAACGCGCACGCATTTGGGAGACTGAGCCAGGAGGATCACTGCGAGTTCGAGGCCAGCCTGGGCTACACAGTGAGCTCTAGGCCAGCCTAGGCTACATAGTAAGTAAGTTCAAGGTCAGCCTGAACTACAAAGTGAGACCTTGTCTCAAAAAAAAAAAAAAGTTCACAAGCACCCAGGAATTTGGTTTGTAATCTCATCCTCTGTCCCACTGTGGTGGCCCCTAATTCTTCTGATGTCTATAAAAAGTCTCTAAAGCTACTTATATAAACATCAGTAGTAACAAAATTATGGATCCCTTTTACTTTTCTCTGTATCCTTTCTTAAGTGTCTGCAGTTTTTGCAGCAAATGTAAACTTCTATACTTGGAAGTAAATAATGCTTCACTTAAAAAAGAAAAAAGTGCACATTGTCAGGGTGACTTACACAATGGCCAGGAGCTTAGAGGTTACTTAAAGGAAAGGTTTAGTGGTGTGAACAAATCACGTCCCTTCCTCACGTTCCCCTTTCACTCCACATTGGAGTTGTTAATATTTTACCCAAAAGACGATACTTTCCCCATTATTATGGGGGAACACCAATTCACTCACCTGGAGTCAGTTTCAGAGAACTCTGCTTTCACGCCTGATGTGCAGAAGCAGCAGAATATTCAAGGCAAGAATCAGGAAGGGCAGATGCCACTTCCTGCCCAAACCCCTCCCTCTCAGCTGAGCTGGGAGCTCGGGTGAAGACTCAGGTGCCCTCAGTTGCAAGAGGGTGGGGTCCCATCCTGCTTCTTGCTATAAGAGCACAGAGCAGCCCACCCTTTGCCTGGTGCCTTTCGCCATGGTGCTCAGGCAGAGAGGAGGTTCTGGGAGTCTCCCAAGCTGCCCTAGGGCAGCCTGGAGGTGAGTAGTTCTGGAGCTGGGAGCTTCTTTGCTTAAATTTGTTCTTAACTCCTTCTCCCATCCTCTTCTACATGTACAGGTCGTTTTATCTCTTCTTCACACTTGTGACTTCAGTGAATGCAGTGGACCGTCAACAGATGGTGAACCCTGCCTTCCCAGGTATGCCTGTTGAGTGAGGGAAATCCTCTTGGCAGAGACAACAGTGGCAGGCAGAGCGCCTTGCTGGCCAAGCAACCCACAGACAACGCACCCCTTTCTGTCCCTTGGTCGGGTCACTAGATCTTTCCTCTGCCTCTGGGTTTGCTATGGCAGCTACAGGAGAGGGGCTGCAGGAGCACTGCACTACTTTGCAACCCCCTCCCTCCACTGCTTCAAGTCTTACAGTGTCTACAGAACGATAAGCTTAACGTTAAGTCCCCATCTCTAGGGCCCGTAGTCTTCAGCGACAAACTTGTGCTTCAAGAAAGCATCAATGTAACAGGCAAAATCACAGCTGTTCCATTTGAAACTACAAGGTGGTGTTGTTTTTTTAAGACTTTCATGTGAGTCAAAGGTTGCAAAATGACAGATCTTTGGCAGAATTTGTTCTTAAGAAAAAATATGCCCTGGGGCTTACCTAGGATTTTGGGGTTTTTTTTCAGACTTCAATTTGAAGAACCTGTAGACAAAACTTTTATTCTTTAGTTCTCCACAGACCTATCATTCCCACCCTAGTCAGCTCCATTGCCAGGGCTCTGGCTTGGCTTCTAGAGGTTTGCTTTTTAACCCTGAATCAGACTTATTCTTGAAGTTTCAGAAGCCCTGTGTTTAATGGATACCTTCCTTCCAATTCTTGGCATATCATTTTGTAGTTTCTTTCTTACCAATTTATGAATTCTCTGAGGATGGGAGACAATCCTTGCCTCTCTCTATTGGTGTCCTTCCTTGATGGCTATTGGGGAGAAAGAGTCTCTCTCTACACATCTGTAGGAGTTATGCCTCTTGTAGCTCAAAAATATCCCAATTGCTTCCTTTGCTCTCCAGGTACTGTCACTTGCAATGAAAATGAACTAACAGTTGAGTTTTCAAGAAGTCTTGGCACCAAGAAGTGGCATGCATCTGTGGTGGGTAGGTAACATGTACTATCTCAGCTTGGTCCCACTTAGCAGAAAGGCCTTGGTTCAGGGCCAGCCCTGTTTGTCTGGTGCACAGAGAACTCAAATTTTGGAGCAACTGGGATCCAATTCCCCTGAGGCCAGGGAGGTCCCTATTTGCATGATGCCACCAAGAGTGGAAAAATCAGTGTTTCCTAGGAAATATCTTCTACTAGAGTCTCCTAGGAAGTTCTTGGCTGCAAGCCATAGCATCTCCAAACTTGAGTTATGGTACTCGTTTGGTCAAGAGTGAAGTGACCGGAGTACCTCGGAAGTGGACTGGCAGTCTTGGCTCAGTACCTCTGGCAGACTTGCTGAAAGGTACCCTCGGCCATCCCTTCGCTAACCTGCTCTGGCTTCTGTAGATCCCTTTGGTGATGAAATGCCGAACTGCACTTATGCCCTGGACTCAGAAAAGCTCACCCTGAAGGTCCCATATGAGACGTGTTCCAGGAGAGTGGTAAGTAATTATTTCTGTGGAGTGATTTGGGAAGTAATAAGCTAGTAGTTACTGTAGTCAACTTGGTGGCTAAGGATTTCGGTTTTGGTGTAGAGCAGTGGTTCCCAACCAGAGGTGTGCTTGTGTGTGTGTGCGTGTGTGTGTGTGGTGTGATTTTTAACTTGCCTGGAGGGCAACTGACAGTGCTGGGAGATATTTCTGGTTCTCCTAACTGGAAGTGGGGTGGAAGCTGCTACTGGCCTCTAGTGGGCACAAGCCAAAGAGGGTTGCTAATAGCTATGCTGCCCAGGGTAGTCCGACATTACAATGATCAGCCTGAAATGGCAAATGTTGAGAAGCCCTGGGTCTGAGTGGTTGAGCCTTTGAGCCCTAGCTCTGCTGCTATGTAGGTGTCACCCTCAGGCAAGTTCCCTAACCTTGCTAAGCTTCTATTTGCCTGTTGGAAAATAGGGATATTGGTAACTCTCCAAAGGTTAACTAAAGACCAATTACATTGTACAGATGAAGACTTGGTGCAGAACCTAGATTTTAAAAATGCTCCAATATGAGCTATTTTTTTTTCCTGCAAGGCCCATGTGAGATGGAAAGCTATTTTGATGCTAGCAAATGGAGAACCTGTCACCTAAAAACAGGTGTTAGAAAGCAAACAGTAGCTAAGCAATAAGTGTTGCCCAATCAACGCTGTTAGGAGTGATGAAGGCAAACTGTCACAGAAGTTCTCAAGCTTAGCCAGGTGTGGTGTACGTGGGAGCCTGAGGCAGGAGGATCTCCATGAATTGAGGCCAGCCTGGGCTACACAGTGAGACCATGTCTCAAGAAAACCAAAAAAATAATTTTTTTTTCAAGCTTTAGAATACAAAGAGTCACCTGGGTAGTTTGGAAAGTATGGATTTAATGAACTTGATATAGGTCTGGGGTGAGTCCTGGTATCTTCATGTTTAATAGGCCATGTCATTTGATCCTAATATAAGTATCCCTAATATAAGTATCCCGTGTAGCATAGGCAACTTCTTGCACTCTAAGTGATCTGGTCTGTAAAGGCCCTTTGTGAATGCCTAATGAAGTAATCACTGCCTATTGTGAAAATATCTAGGGACTAAAATTTCTACTCTAAACCTTCCCAGCCTCGTGGGACCAAGGGTGTGCAAACTACAGCCTGTGGGTGACCAAATCTATAGCCTTTAAAAAACTCATCAAACTAAGAATGGCTCTTCAAAGAGTATATTTTAAATTTTATGGATTATATTTGGCCCACAGAGTCTAAAACAGTCACTAACATTTAATAGAAGCTTGATAGACCTCTGCTTTCAGAGCTAACATCAAAGATACCTGCTGTGACCTGCACAGCATAGGGTCTGAATCTGGGGAGATTGGTGGGGGATGAAGAAAAATGAAAATGCCAAGATTATGCTTGAAAGCTGGGATCAAGTGGAGCCATAACCTGTTGGGAGCTGATGGCTGCCTGGAGTCCAGCACGCTCTTTATTTATAGTGTAAGACAAACAGGAAGAGAAGGCGGGGCGACTAGTGCTACGTGGCCTGGGCTGAACATAGTGTGATTGTCTTGTGATCAGGGCAGACGCAGGAAGGGAAAAGGAAGAAGGATACATAATGTAACTGTCTCCTGGGGCTGTGCCATCCAGGGTCTACAGTCTAGTCTATGGAGGAGAAAGGCAGTAGGGAGGAGCCAAAGGCTCAGTCCATGGCAGATAGCTGTGCCTGGCACAATGGCTGTTACTTAGATGCTCACCGGGCCTATTTGAATAACCTGGGTAAAGCCCTCATAACCATCTCTACTCAGTCAGGGCCACAATATCCAGACATGGGCTAAAATAAATATAAGAGAAATAGAAACATAAAAAACTAAGCTCTTTAATCCCTAATGCTCAAACTGCTCTCCCAACGAGTCTTTACCAGGCTATCCCAAAGAGCCGGTCTCCTGGCATAGAAACGAGAACTTGTAATATTGCCACTCTGTTGGGTCCGATGTTCTTCTGGAATTGCCTTTCCTACCAAGGTACCAGCATTTCACTCTGTTCTTCCTGTGCTGTTTTCACACAGCCTGGTGGGCACCAGCTGAACATCAGAATCCTAGATAACAGTGCTGCTTCAAGACCTGGGGACACCATACACCAGTTCTTCTGCCCAGCTGTGGAAGTAGAACTACACGAGCTTTCAGAATCTACAGTCTGTACAAAGGATTTCATTTCTGTAAGTAAATCAGACTGACTTCTCATGGCAAAGGTAGGGGAGATATGAGGGTGTTCTGGGAGCGGGGCTTAGAAATCAGATAGGACTTTAAGGCTGTGTTGCTCTGTGACTGATTTTATTTTTGTAGCCACACAGGATTTGTTTCCAAGTACAAAATGGAAGACTGATGACAGTCACCTGATAGGGTGTCCTAGGAATTGGCCCAGACTCTACAATATCTAGCATATCATGGCTAGTAATGGAAAGGGTTCACATGGTATCTGCAATCATATTAATGGTCACTTGACAACCAGAGTACCTACCATGCTCCAGGCCCTGTCCCAAAAGTTAGATTTAGCAAATGAGCAAAGCAGCCCAAGCACATTTCCATGAAGTTCATGGTCTGCTATGGCTAACGTTGACACTGGACAACCAATAGTAACATTTGTAATCTAACAATGTAAGTGCATGTCTGTAGATGTAGGAAGAGGCTGCACATTGAGGAGCCTAGTGTTTCAACTTGCATTTGGAAGGGAATTTAGATCCTCCAATTGCCTTTTGGCATCTGAAGCACAAAGAGATGAAATGACATCTAGCGCATAATGGGGCTTCATGACAGGCCTGGTGCTTTCCCTGCTGCCTCTCACTACCAGGATTCTCGGTGTAAAAACAGCATAGCAATTACGCTGGGTGTTTTCTGCTTACTGAGAGGTGGCATGATTTCAGATACTTTCTCCTTCAAATCAAAGCTTCATGTGATTTTTTTTTTTTCTTCCAGTTTTCCTTTCCACAAGTTCTTCGTGGCATGGCTGATGTCGGTGAGGTATGAAAGTAATCTTTAATTTACAAACCTTACTAACATTTAAATCTATTAAACCTGACATTTAACTTTAATCTGAAAACATCAGAGTATTATAGTCTCCTAATTGAGTGAGCACCAATCCTTTAAACAAGGTTTTTAATACTTAAAATTTTTTTTTAGAGGAATGAATCTGATA